GTTAGTTTTAATTATATGATATTATTATTACTTTTAGTATTAGTATTGTTTAACAATATGGATATTCTATTGTTTAACAATTAGGATACTAATTAGTTTATGTTTTAATTATTATTATTATTATATTTATGTTAAAGGGGAGTTAAAGCGCATTATGGACTTGGTTATTTATATATTTATTTATTTATTTATTTATTTATTTAATTGAATTTTTACCCCGCCCTTCTCCTTACGGACTCAGGGCGGCTGACAGCCTGATAAAAAACAAATACAAAAAATACCCCAATACTATCGTTAAAACATAATTAAAATGAAATATTAGATTTGGCCTTTGATTAATTATAGTTGGTTAATGTTAGTTAGATTATGATTATTATATTTGTAACCCTGTATTCAGCTCTGGGAAGCGGGAGAGGGAGAGGGGGGGTTAGGGTGGGTTGGTTTTGAGGTTTATAGTGTAACTTTTATAAAACTTTTCAATTAAAAAAAAAAAATGCCACAACTGGGGAATTCAAAGGGGAATCTTTGCAATGCCACGATGTCCCTGACCGCGTTTGCTGTTTGCGGGACACTCCCGTTTCTTTCTGAAAAGCCCCAAACCCAGCTTTGCAATTCTAACCACCTCGTTCTGGAAACAGCTTCGCCTTTCGCTTAGGTCAGTGGTTCTCAACCTTTTTAATGCCGCGACCCCAACTGGTCGTAAGTCGAGGACTAAACCGGTCGTAAGTCAAGGACTACCCAACCGGTCGTAAGTCGAGGACTTTCCCTGCCCGGGAGCGCCGCGCATGCGTGGTTCTGCCCCCTGTGCCGGCCGAGGCATAGCTGTCAAGCGGCAGAGACGGAGCAGGCCGACCACCAGCTGGCCCAGCCCAAGGGAGGTAAGGCACCCACTGGAAAAGGGGGAAAAAATGGCGGACAAAAAAAATGGCAGACAAAAAAAATGGTGGACAGCCTTGCTTGGCGACCCCCGTGAAATGGTCGATCGACCCCAAATGGGGTCCCGACCCACAGGTTGAGAACCACTGGCTTAGGTTGAATGCTTGGCAGGGAGGGAGGGAGGGGCTTATTTGCATTTTAAATACATCACAGCTAAAACGCAGCAGCCATCATCATCACGGAAGAGGCAGCCACGGGAAAAGTGCAATGCGCATTTCAAGGCCAGCCACAAAAACCAAGCTCGCGGCCACGCCGAAGAAGAACCCCGTCGGTCTGGGGACGCAGGGGCTAAAATCTTCCCTGCTTTCTCCTCCTGCTTGCTAAGCCCACTGCTCTCCAAAATGCACGTGAGCAGCACTGCAGCAGCCAAACGGAGCGATCCGGACGGACCTGCCCGTGCACCGATGCAAATGCCGCCAAATAACGTGATTGATCCAGAAGGAGGACCGCAAGGAATTTCCCTGGCACGCTGCCGAGGAGATTCTCCGTGAATGGTGACCGGACTTGGGAGACCAAGTAACGGACAAGGAGCCATCTTATTCACGTGGGCACGTAGTCAGGGCCTCGGCGAAATGCTTCATTACTCCTCCTCACTAACATGTAACCTTCCCTTGCTGGCGCCCAAATTCTGCAGCTGCGGCTATTTCTTGTGGAAGCAACCGGGCTGGAGAGGGAGGAAGGCCTGCAAAATTGGCCCACTAGACAGGTGCCCTCAACATTTGCTGATTGGAAGCGTACTGGATTGATCAGTAAAGCTTCGTTAATTATGTTTGTACTAGTTTCTGTTTATTCGTTCTTTGGAACCCGACTTGGGGGGGGTGTCTCTCGGTCGGCAAAGCCCCAGCCCCGCGGCAGCGAACCTATGGCACACGTGCCACAGGTGGAACGCAGAGCCCTCTCTGTGGGCACGTGCGCCGTCGCCCCAGTCCTACTAGGCCTTCAGCTGGGTTTTATAAAACCTTTTCGCTTTTAGGCCTCCGCCGTGTGCAAAAAAAAAAAAAAAAAGGTTCAATCAATCAATTTCAATTTCTCACAGGAAAAAAAAAGATCTCTCAAAGTTGGAATTGATGGATTGAACTTTTTAGTCCCAGCCAGTCTGCCGTTACCACCGCAGCCATGCCCACCCAATGGGCCACCCCCACCCGGCACCCGATGATACATAAATGGGTTTTGGGTTGCAGTTTGGGCACTCGGTCTCTAAAAGGTTCGCCATCACTGCCCCAGCCAATGGCAGGAAGAGATGTGTGGGGATGCCCCTTTCCCTGGCAACTGTAGTAGCCGAGAGCCGGGTCCCGGCCCCAGCCTGCCCACCGCCTCCTCCTGGCTCCAGAGACAAAAGACTCCTGCTGCTCTAAGGCAGATGGCGATGGCCGCTAGCTGCTGCCTAGGGCAGGGGTAGGCAACCTTGGCTCTTTTATGACTCATGGACTTCAACTCCCAGAATTCCTGAGTCAGCATGGCTGGTTCAGGAATTCTGGGTATTGAAGTCCACAAGTCATAAAAGAGCCAAGGTTGCCTACCCCTGGCCTAGGGACAGAGCGGCCCTTCCCTAAGCAAAGCGTCTTGCCCGTTGTTCCCTGGATGATCAGCCTGGGCAAGGGGGCAGGCCTCCCCCAGTGTGGCTCTCAGGGCTGCAACCAGGCACACCTGGAGAGGCCAATGGGCTCAAGAGGGCTCACCTGGTCTCCCCCTTCCCCAGAACTGCAGAGAGCAGCCTCGGGTGAATCTGGCTGAGGACCAACGTTCAGCATGCCTTCTGCAGGGGGACATCCCCAGCCCTGATGCAGCGCAAGGCCGGCGCCATGCCAACCGCTGCCTGCGTGGCGTCTCGGCTCCTTTGGCAGGGTAAGGAGAGAGGGAGGGAGGGGAGAGGAAATGGAGGCTGAAGGGCCCCCCCCAGGGTTGGGGACGGGGAGGGGGCAGCGGGAAGGGCTTACCCCTATCTGCAGATTCCTCAGCTGTGGGTGAGACGAGACCAACAAAGGGCATGCTGGGGTACCACACCGCGTGCCAGAGGGGAGTCCGGGTGGGGGCTGCACTTTGCAGGCCTGAAGGAACGAAGGAAGGAAGGAGGGGAGCCACTCAGCCCAGGCAGCCACACCAGGGAAGAGAATTTGTGGGTGGGGGGGAGAAATTCTGTGGCCAGCTGATCCCTGCGCGGCCACTGCCCTCCCCGCTCGTTTTCCAGGCCGCCTTTGGTCCAAACTCCGAGGAGCAAAAAGCAGAGACAGCAGAAGGAGCGGCATCTTGGGAAAGCATCTGGGGGGAACGGAAGGAAGAGCAGAGCAGAGCGCTGGGGAACGCCAGGAAAAGCCAGACAAGGAAAGAGAAAGTGCAGAGCCAAACCTCTTCCTGGGTGTGCCTGCCAGGGCCCTGGCTGACCATGCGCAGAGCAGGAGACCGGGGTGGGGGGGTGGGGGTAATTCAAAGCAAAGGTGGGGGGCTCACTTACAGCGCTGGCCCGCCCACCGGGGACTGGTCTTCCAAAATCAGCAAAGGCCGGGGTGAAGTCTGGGCCCCGGGCCAAGATCCGAGAGTCCAACGTTCGAAGAGGCAACTTGGGCTGATTGATCTGCATGGGCAGAAAAGAGGGGGAGTCATGCAGGGCAGGAGGTGACCCCACCCCTCCCTTCTCTGCCTTCAGCCCAGCCCTCCCGATTTCCTGTTCGGGGGGCTGAAAGGCGACAAAGTGGAGGGAGGGGGGTGGGTGGGAATCCATTCACCTAGCGCCCAACCGACTCACAGGCTCCTGACCTTATCGAGGACGACGTCGCTGATTGGCGGGAGCCCCTCCGGCTTCTGGATGCAGGCCGGCATGAACTGGAAGTCGAGCAGGAAGTCCCGGTCGTACTGCTTCTTCCCTTCGGTGTCCGCAGGCTTCCCCGGCTCTGTGGCGGCAGAACAGTTGCTCTCGCAGCCGAGCTTCACCTCTCGGGAGCGGGCAGCAGGGGAGCTGGGCCAAAGCGGGCAACGAGACCCCATCCAGGCTGCCCTGAGGCCCTCCCCCCTTCAAAGTGGCTAGGAGAGTGGCAGAGGGCTTCCGTCCCGTGCCCGGCTGACAACGGCTCTCTTTTTGGCCAGTTCCTGATGATTGTGATACAATTGGGAAACGGGCGGAGATGGTGCACCTAACGGGCCGTTCGGTTCCCAAAGAAGAGAGGTGGCAAGGAAGCTATTTTGGAATCCCCTGGGTCCCTCTGAAAAGGAGAAAGAGCCCCCTCCCTCAAATTCTGTTCAGAGATGAGCTGGGATGAGAGGGGTGGAGCAGCAGCCAAAGTCCCTGGGGGCCAGGTGTCTCTAATAGCCCTCCTCTTCTTCACCCTCTGCAACCACAGCAGGCCTGGCCCTCAAAAGCTAACAACCCTGGGCACAGCCCACTTCTGGATCCTGGCCCTGCAGGACATGGGCTGCCAACTGCTCAGGCCTTTCCCTGCTTCCCCCCCAAGAGGCTCCCTCTTTGGACCACCCTCTCTGTTCCCGTGAGGTTGGGGGCAGAGGCTTCCACCCGGGGAGTTCCCCTCTCTGAGCTCAGAGACCAGGCCGGGGATGGAGGCTACCTGGCTTATTAGGCTGGCAGGCGGGGACTTCGCTCACGCTCTCCGCGCAGCCTCCTTCCCTCTCGGAAACCTCCTCGGCCCCGTTGCGGAGAGGCTCTCCTTCCTGCTCGCCATTTTCTTCCATCGTCATCGCGTTGGCTACCGTCAGGTCGGACGGAGAGGCCCTGCCGAGACTCCCGGCCTCTTGCTCGGCTTCCGGGATCCGCTCCCCTCCGAGGGCTGCTTCTTCTGCCTGAGGCTGAAGCAGAGGCCACGTTATCCCCCTTCTCTGACCCAAAGTTCAGCGCGACAGCCTCCCCCCGCCAAGGGGGAAGCCAAGAACTCGCTCCCCACTGCAGACAAGTGGGAGCCCCCCAGGCCCCGCATTCCAGGAAGGAGTGGGGGGAGAAGAGTGAGACTGATCTGAGCTCTTCCTCACTGGCCTCTCCCCCTCCTCAAAATCCATCCCTTGGCAGCTGAGCACCCTGGCACCCAAGGAGGACCATCCAAGCCACCACAGGCCTTTGGAAGAAGAGCATCCCCCCCTTGGGAATCCTGCCCCGCTCACCTCAGGCTCCGCCTCCAGCCCTTCCTCGGCTGCCTGGCTCTGTTCTTTTGGTTTCTTCCACGTCTTTGGTGCAGCTGCATCTGTCGGGGCTGCAAAGCAGATCGAAATGGGGTCGTTTCCCACCCCCCCCAAAGCAGGTCTGGGAGAGGGAAGGGTCTTGCTGAGCCCTGCCCACCCTCCCCGGCAACCATTCTCCCAGGAGGCAGGAAAGCCGAGCCTCAGATGCTGACCCACCTTCTTCCAGGCCTCTCTCGGCACTCAAGCCCTGGAAGTCCTCCTCCTCCTCCTCTTCCTCCTCCTCCACCAACTCTTCTTCCGGCCGGCCATCCACCTCCGGTTCCTCTCTCGCGTTGGGAGCGTCTTCACTACTAAGAGCCGGTTTGGGGGACTCCTCTCTGTCCAAATCCTCCTGGAGGGCGGGGGGAGCACCGCCCGGTAGGAGAGGAGGGGAAGGCGAACGGGGAGGAGACGGGGGAAGATGGGGGACGAGAGCCACCGGCAGGGCGAGGGGAGAGGGGGGAGGCCTCGGAGGCGGCGAGGGTGAGCTGGGAAGAGCCACGGAAGGAGCCGCAGCAGCAGCAGGCGGCGTGCTTTCCACCTCCGGTTCTTGACTCTCCGGTTCCAGGGCCGGCGGGCCATCTTCCTTCGTTCCGCCGAGTTCCGGGACGCCGTCGCCGAGCGTTCCCCTTTCGGGAACTCCGTTGAGTTCATTAGCGAGATTAGCACTGGGAGCCTGGTGCAACTCGTTGGGGACTATCCTAGAGAGCTCCCGACATCTCTCTGGGTCGGCCTCCTCCTCCTCCTCCTCCTCCACCTCCTCCTCTGCCAGGGGGCAGCTGGGCAATTCCAGGCAGGGCCCAGCCCTGGCCAGTGGAGGAGCCTCCAGTGGCGGGAGAGCCAGTTCGCAGCCATCCTGCGAGCCGGGTGCCAGTGGCGACCTGCTGGGGGGCACGACTGCAAGGGAGGGGGCTCCAGCAGGACCAGGAGGCTCCAAGGAGGTCTCTGGGCAGGGGGGGCTCTCCGCAGTCAGGCCCGCTTGCTCTTTCCTCTCTCCACTCGGCTCTGCTCTGAGGGCAGGGGAAGGAGATTTTAATACTGGATCTGTTTTAGGCTTCTCTTCTGGGGAAAAGGAGAAAGGCAGAATTACAAGAGCCCAGCCCTGCCAGAGCCAACGGATGCTGCCCCCTCCTCCTCCCCTCCAGGGCCCACCAGCGGCAGCTCTCCTGGGGTCACCTCTTTGCCGAGCCCCACAATGGGGAAACCGGCGGGAAACGCCCCCCGATTCGTTTCAACCCCAGGCGGGCAAACCTGCAGGCCACGAACCAAAAGCCCCCCAATCTTTTGGCTGCCAGGAGCAAATGTCACAGGTAGCCACTTCCCCTGGACCAGGGACAGGCAACTTTGGTTCTTTTATGACTCGTGGACTTCAACTCGCAGAATTCCTGAGCCAGCATGGGGGAACTATGGCCCCCTCATGACTCATGGACTTCAACTCCCAGAATTCCTGAGCCAGCGTGGCTCAGCTTGGAAACCTCTCCCTTTCCCCTCAGCGTGGCTGGCTCAGGAATTCTGGGAGTTGAAGTCCACGAGTCATAAAAGAGCCAAGGTTGCCTACCTCTGGCCTAGGCCTAGGCCGCTTTATGACTCGTGGACTTCAACTCCCAGAATTCCTGAGCCAGTATGGCTCAGCTTGGAAACCTCTCCCTTTCCCTCAGCATGGCTGGCTCAGGAATTCTGGGAGTTGAAGTCCACGAGTCATAAAAGAGCCAAGGTTGCCTACCCCTGGCCTGGAGAGAAGCAGAACACTCCAGAGGAGGAAGAGTCTGCTGCTTTGGGGCCGTGGCTGTTCTGAAGCTAGGGAACCCTTCCAGCTTGGGACTCATCCCAGGGCCAAATAGGGGCTCCCATTTCCCTTCAGGCTTTGAAACGTAAGTCAAGCCACAAGCCAATCGTTTCGGGGAACCGGGATTTGCCACCCACATTTGAAAGACACAACTGGAAGAGAAGCGCTAAGCGAGGGAAGGTCGACCCAACAGTCGGGAGGTGTGAGAGAGGGAGAGAGAGAAAGAGAGAGAGGGCAGGGTGGTCAAACAGCATGGTGAGGAGATGGTCCTGGTGGGGATAGCAGCACGAAGCAGCGTTCTATGTTACTTGGTTTTCTTACGGCACTTAAAAATATGTAAAACCACCCTTGATCTACCCGGAGAAGACCGCGCGCATGTGTGGCAACGTATAGTACTAGCGACACAGAGAAATGAAACGTAAAATGCAAACCACGAAACCAAGAGGACGGAGTCCCAGATGCCCCTACACAAAAAATCCCATCCTCTCCGCGCTCCCTCCAGGTGGCCAAGGCAGGTCTGGCGGCCCGGGGACCCTGTTCACCTCAGGAAGGATTGGCAGCTCTCCTTTCCTCACCGGAGGCTGCCGGTCTGCCAGTCCCCAAGTGCAAAACAAGCCTGGGGGCAGCTCAGCAGGACTGGGCTGTGTTGCAGCAGGACCCCGGGAGGGTGGGGAAGAGGGGCAGGTTTTGGACCACCCAAGACAAAGCATGGGGAATAGGGCTGGGGCAGCGGCCTGTCCCCAACCGTTGGGATTTCAGCTTCCCTGCGTCCTTTTTGAGTCTTTGCGGAAGCCGCCTGCTCAGATGGGGCTTGAGGCGACCAATCCCCTCTGGTCCTCTAGTAAGCAGACTGGTGGCTCAGCCTCTCCTCTGCCCCCAAAGATTCCTGGGGTGGGGGGGACGAGACCCACCTCTCTCTCCAACCAGGACGAGCCGTCCATCCACCCACCTTGCTTGAGGCCGCCTGTCGCCGCGATGGGGCTGCTGGCCGGGAGGGGAGAGTTCTCCACAGTCCCGCAGGCCACGGGGCTGAGCTCAGGGACCTGGCTGGGCAGCTGCTGCTGAGATTTGAAGTACAAAAAAAGGGTGAAAATGAGCGTGCGAACATAAAAACCAGCGAAAGCGGAACGCAGGCAGGCAGAAAAAGGGAGGGGAGGGCCAGGTGAGAAAAAGAAACATAATTTGGGGGGGGGGGGGAAGAAAACAAAACCATAATATACATGGGGGGGAAGAAAGCACATGGGGAGGGAGGGACGGAGTAAAGCAGCAGCAGAAAGGTGGGGAGAGAAAGACCGTTACTATCGGCAACACTGAAGACGACAGCAGGGGCAGAATTCTCCGCCAGTCTCGCACCCCCCACCCCGGGCAATGAGCCAGGGATCCTGGATTAGGGGAAAGCCCACCCACCCCCATCCTTCTAAGCTCCCAGAGTTCGACTGACAGGCCAATTCTCTGAAAGGGCCTGGTCAGAAAGAACAAAAGACAGAATAATTAAAAACCCCAGCGATCCCAAAGGCCTCAGCCCTCCTCTCCATGGGTTCACGGAAGACTTCCCGTGGAGTTTCTCCACCCTTTATCAAAAGATCGGGAAGGTCCTGCCCGCAGTCCTGACCGACCCACTGGATGGGGTAGGAAAGGGGGAGAGAGGGGGCTGCCCACCACAGATGCTGCGGCCGCTGCAGCAGCCCCACTGACAGCCGATCGCCGTAGGATCCCTGCAGCTGAACCCACGGCGGCTGTCCTGTTTGTTCGGTTCTGGGTTGAGGGCAGGGCTGCTCCGTTAGAAATCCTGAGCTCCTTGTGGAAGGCTTTCCAGGTGGAGAGGGAGGTCGGTCAAATAATTCCTCTCCAGACCCACAATGCCACACCCACAAGGGCCCGGAAGACAGGTGTCAAGGCTGCTAACGTGGGATGTTCTTGCTTTAACAACATACAGAGATGCAGCCGTTATTTATCTTCTTCTGTTTTTACTCTTAGAATTAGAGTTAGAATTAGATGATACTGGGGGGGGGGGGGGGGGAGGAATGTGCATGGGAGTTTAGCTAGACATAACAACACTGTAACTAGTGTGAGAATCAAGGTCATTGAAATAAGAGATGATAAGAAATGGCAGGAGGGAAAGCCTGCATTTCAAACTAATTGGGGAATGTGATTTATGACGGTTAATTGGAGGAGGGAATTGTGCTCTTGATACTATGTGCTCAGGGGAGGGGAATTCAGATTTTGGCTTGGCCTATGTGCCTGCCGATGCTATGCTACTCGAATAAAGATTCTTTAAGGTAAACAAGGCCTCGAAGTTCTTTGAAGAGTTTCACCTGTCGGAACCACGACAACAGGCTGCAAATCTCTAAAGGACAAAGAACTACAGGCAGCCCTCGCTTAGTGACCATTCCAAGTTACGTCACTGGAAAAAAAGCGGCTTATGACCGTTTTTTTGCACTCACAGCCGTTGCAGCATCCCGGGATCAAAATCCGGACGCTGGGCAACTGGCTCGTATTTACGACGGTGTCACGTGATCCCCTTGTGCGACCTTCTGACAAGCAGTCAAATGGGGGAAGCCAGATCCCCTTAATGGCCGTGTGACTAATTTAACTGCAGTGACTCGCTTAACGACTGTCTCGCTTAGCAACGGAAGTGTTGGGCTCAAGTGTGGCCGTTAAGTCGAGGACACAACCCGTACTGGAGACCCGCCTCTCCCTTTAGGACAGCAGAGGCATAGCAGCAGCTACAAAGGCGTTCCGAGCACACGTTTGCAATGCGGATTCCTCTGGAGAAAGGACCCCGGGGGCGGGCGGGGAGGGGGGACTGGTTACCTGAGGCGGGGTGGGGGTCGAGGTGGGCCGGACCGCAGGAGGCGGGGTGGGGGTCGAGGTGGGCCGGACCGCAGGAGGCGTGGGGTTCCTGCTCCCTCCGCCAGACATAATTTCTTCCGTTATGTCTTTGCCCCCTTGATTCGGATCCCGGATGCGGATCTGGCACAAAAAAGATAAGGAAGCCGCTGAGCCCTCTCTACTCGGATCTCCTGAGCCGGTTCGGCATTCTTGACTATGCCTCGGCAACAGAGATCAGACGAAGCCGCCCTGGGGCCAACCGAAGAGCTAAACGCCCTGCCGGTCCCGGGGCCATCCAAAGGGCTTCCCTAACAGGGTAAAGCCGTGGCCGTGGCATCCAGCAACCGAGATTGGCCTCCTGGTCAGGGAGCCGCTCCAGCCGTGGGAAGCCCCCCACCCTCGGCGGAGAGCGCTTACCGTCTTCTTCTCCCGCTTGGTGGGTGGGAGCGGCTGCTGTTGGGGGGTAGGCACTATGATGGGTGTCGACTGATACACCGGCTGACTCGGATAGAAAGGGGCTCCTGGAACGAGGGGAGGGAAAAAAAAAAAAGGCCCGTCTGGCTGGGGCTGAACGCACCCACTTCAGCCCCCTTTTTCGGGTCAGCCAATCCTCCCCAAACCAGGAGCCATTTAGACGCCCTTCAGGAGCTCTGGGATGAACAGATGTATGGGGGGGGGGGGGAAAGGGACCAGAAAGAGCCTATTTCACTAAGGAGCGTCTTACCGTAGGCATTGGGGAATTCTCCAGGCCCCGGTCCTGGATAAAAGGGGCTGGGCCCCGGGGGCTGAACGGGATACTGTTGCGGAGGCCCCACGTAAGGAGGACCGCTGTGCCGATACTGTGGAAGGAAATGGCATCAGGCATGAGGACACAACGGGGGAGGGTGGGCATCCCGCCGGCTGAGCCAGAGGGGAAGTTCTGCCTTCTTCCGATCCCCCCTCCATGTTCTTCCTCCTCCAGAAGCATGGAAAAACAGCCCCCCTCCCTGGCAGGAGCACAGAGACCTTTGCGATGCCCGCCGGGTGAAGCCACCCGCTGCTTTTCCAAGGGTGGCGCTCCCACCCAGCCCTCTTCCAGCCAAAGCTTACAAACTGGCCAGTACCAAGGACAGGGAGGTGGAGGAAGACCACGGAAAAGCCGTCCCCACCCACCCCGTTCCTCCCCCCCCTGAAACAGCAGCATCCCCCTTACCTGTGGAATACAGTACTGGGGCCCCTGAGGCATTGGGTAGGGCATGGGGAGGTGGTTGACCATCATGATGTGCTGATTGGTCTGATAGACCGCCGTGGGGGTTTGTGCGCCTGGGCGGATGGAGGGGCTGCTGTTCTGGATCGTAGCTCGAGGGGGCTGGATTTGAGGCCTCTGGAAAAACTGGGGGGGGGGGGGAGGCAAGCAAGCAAGTAGATCATCGGCACCACAAAGGCTGAAAGCTAAGGCAGCCCTTGCTCAAGAAGACCCACATCTCTGGAGCAGTGGGACCAACGCAGGACCCGGACCGGACCCTCTTGGTGCTTGGGAAGTCGTGCTCCCAACGCCAGAGGCAGGAGGGAGTCTGCAAACAGGCCCCTCCAGATGCAGGAGGCGGTTGGGGCCTTCTCTTGTGGACGTCCTCTTTCAAAAAAAGGATAAAAGGGGGCAATCTGGCTTTAAATTATCCCCATCCCCAAGGCAATCGGCCGGGGGGGGGTAGGGGAGGGGGGCAAAGAAGCTCTGGTAAGGTGGCACGGGGGCCTTTTTGACGTGTAGGCTCTCTCTCTCTCTCATGTGCAACAAGTGCAGAACAGGGTGTCAAGCATGAACACATCCAACCGTCAACGAGGGGTGATCAAGAGACGAGTCGGGCCATGCAGAGCCAGTAGTGGAAGTTACCTGGATCGGTCTGAATCCTCCCTTCAACAACGAAGCAGCAGGAAATAAAAAGAAAGCCGGTGGAACAGCTGACAGGGAGGGAGGGGAGGGAGGGAGGGAGGGAGGGGCCGGCATGCAACGGAGGACCCCGGGCCACAACGCCCTGGACGGAGCTGCCCACATTATCTGTTCCCAGAGGAGCCAATCAGCGACCTCCTGTGGCTGCCTGGGTCGTCTCGCCCTCCCTTCCTGGACTTTCTCTTCCACTGCCAGGCATTTGAGGACATCACATTCTACTCCAACCAGGACATCACAACCTACTCCAACCAGGACGAGCCAGCCCGAGTAGGACATCCTACTCAGGGGCTGGCAGGGAGAAAAAGGATTTCCTTTCCGGGCCTTAGCTGCCTTGGGAGACCCCCAGAGCGCCCAGCAGAAAGGAGAGCTACTGTACACCAGCCCCCCCCCCCAAACATCGGATGGGCTTCTGAGTGGGGGCAGAATCCCCTCCCCAAGACAGCCCAAACAGAGGCCAGCCTGGGACACGGGAAGGGCGGTTCCCACTTCTTCATCTCATTTGGAGAAGCAAAAAGGTTCATCCCCGGAAGGTGGATAGGACAGGAGCCATAAAATCAGCATTTTGGGGGGACTCACTCCCCTTCAGCTCACTCACACCTGCACTGCCGGTCAGGACTAATTGAGACCCTGCTGGGAGACACACACACCCCAGCAAAACCCCAGAGCAGCCAGTCCTGAGTCACCTGCCAAAAGAGGGCAGTGGGGGGTCTTTTAATCCCGTAAAGCCCGATTTGATCCAGCAAGCTTCTCCTTTTGCTCCCTCTTCCTTGGGAATGCTGCCCTGCCCCCTGCCCAGGCCAGGAGAGACCTGGGGCACCTGGCTGCACCTGGAAAGCTCTGCTCTGGTTCGTGGAAACATAGAAGCAGAAAGGTACACATGTCTGCCCCTTCTCCCTTCCCTCGCCTAGCATCCACCTGTAGGGCCGTCTGATACGTGGGGAAAGAACTGGAGGGGACGACGACCGTCCCTTGCTATCCGCAACATGTCAAGGCCAGGCCAGCATCTCCACACCAGGAGGGTATCTTGGAGGCGTCCACTCAGCAGCTCGCCAATAAAGGGGCTGAGAGACTGGAATGGGCAGAGCACCAGCAGACGGAGAGCTGCGACAAAGCCCCCCACCCCTCCCCACGCTCCCTGTTTCTTAACAGCTTCGTGTGGCGCCCCAATGTGCAAACGCTCCTGCTAGTTGCCCGTGAGGGATTTGCAGAAGAAGGTGGCTTAGCACAAACGTCACGTCAGACACCACCGGAGCACGGAAAGGCGACGAGCAAAAGGCTCCGGGGAAGAAGACCACAAGACCGGGAGGATGGGGAGGGGGGTGCCCCCCACAAACATTCAGCCAGCATCGATCAAACCAACCCAGGGTTTATGGGCATTTGGGGGCGGGGGAGGGAAATGACAAGATGATCACACAAGCGCGGTGAACGTCACGCACTTGCGTCAAGATGTTGGGCACAAGCCATTTGTTGGATGGCCTCGCTGCCCCCAAAGCCGCTGCTTTGGCCTCGCAGGGACCGACCGCAGTCCGGAGATCCTGGCAGCAGCATTGGGCATCTTCCATTACGGCCAGCACATTAATCAGCACTTGGGCAGGCGTGGGCACCTCTGCCCCTCACAGCAACACCTCCCCCCCAAAAAGGGGAAAGACATAACAGGGCTCTGAACTTCAACTTGTGATCCCTTTTCAGCTAACATCCAGTTCAGGATGTTCCACCAGGCAACCTTTAATGGCTTCTAGCTACGTTTTTGTGCATGAAGATCCAAAGGTGCCTTGCGACATTTTGCACAGTAACCTCTACATATAATTAATCAAGCGCGTAAACAGATGTGGGAGATGCCTCCTGTTGGAGGCCGCCTGCTGCTTACGGTCCCGGCAAGGAGCCCTCAGGGGTCAACCAGCAACCTTCCCCGTTGATCCAGATCCGTGACGCTCCCCCCACCCGGGCTCAGCCGATATAGCTTCAACATGCAACAGCCTGGGGGGGGTCCTTTCCTAGTCCTCAACGGCACAGGAGGGGGGGCCACAGACAGGAGGGGAGAAAGGAGACGCCCCCGTGGACTCTCTCTCTTCCAGACCAGTTCAGGAATTCAGCAAAACAGCAACCCTGACGCTCCTTGGTGGCACCCCAATATTAAGTGTTGTAGAAAGAGGCTACCCCGGCCAAATCGTGCCGGATCTCACAATCTTCACTGCTTTTTCTTTTTTGAGTTCTCGCACGAGACTCACAGATGCTCAGTTGAGGCCACAACACCAGCATCGTGTGATATTTTGGCTATCGGATTTGGGGGTCCTGGCTCCGAGAGACCGGGGCAATTCAGCAGCTCCAGCTGCAGCTCTTTTTCTGTGTTAGACCCATCCACCACCACCACCCATCCGGAAGGACACCTCCTGATCTTACATCAAGGGGAAGAATAGAAGAGCAGTTTGCTAGGAAGTGGGTTGTGGGTTGGGGTCAGTCTCCCCGCGCTCCATAGGCTGCAGGGAGATCTACAACACCACCCTCCATCCTCTTAAAGGGAATTAGTAGCTGTTAGAAAGTGGAGCCGCCCAGAGCATCCTTCAGAATTAGCAGGAGGAGGAGGAGGGCCAGCTAGCCGGCCAGAACGCCCCCCCCCATCCCATCGCATCCCGCAACCAGGCTGTAGCAGAGGGAGAAAAGAGGAGGGGGGGGCAAGGAGGGTACTATACCTGGTGGTGGGCAGGTCGAGGCCCAGCTGCGAACTAAGAAGCGGGAGAAACAAAAACACAAAAAAAGAAGGGAAGGCACAGAGAGTCAGAAAACACACAACAGAAGGCAAACAACGTCACACTCTATGCAAATGAAACCCATGGTGGGGTGGGGGGGTGCGTAAATGAGAGATGAGGAAATAAAAGAGCGCTACTACTACGAAGGAAGCACACAGCTGCAGCACACAGAGGGAGGGGGGGCACAGCGACCCCAGCTGACCCCACGGGCTGAACCTGTGGCCAGGAGGCAGCCCTGGGAAAGCCCACCCCACTAGCGCTTTGGGGGTGTGGGGGGGGGCAATCGGGCTGAGGGTTCCCAAGGGGGAGGGCGGAGGGGCCGCCAGGCCAGAGCCGCAGCTGGGAACTGAAAGTGGAGGGAGGGAAGGGGGCAAAAGAAGCCCAAGTGTCCTGCCCTTCAGCTTTAATAGCCCAGCCTTTTGGTCAGCTGCTGCCCATCCAGAGAGTGACCGGCTTTCCTTCCAGCCCCTCATCGCGAGTCCCGTGAAAAGCACCAGGCAGAGGGGGCGAGTTGACAGCCAAGGTCTCCTTCTCCCTCCTCGCCCCTCTTTTTTTGCATTCTCGTCTTTCTGACTGCCTCTTTTTACTGTGGGGCTGACCAGCAGGGTACGGACGGACGCTTGAAATAAATTCAGAGAGTAGCTGCACACAGGACGGGGTGGGAGAAAGAGGATCTCCTCCCTGGTTTGTTTTTTTTTTCCCCCACTGGCTTTTGTGCAAGTGGAAACAAAAAAAAACAAAAAAAACCCCGCAAACTGCCCAAATCCTATCCAGGAGACTGAAGGTAAGAGCACAAAAACAGGACCAGACAACAAGGGCACAAAATATCTGTTGGTCCGCTGCCTCTTCTTCCTGGAGGGTGGGGGGACTCCGAAGCCGCCAGCCTTCCCCAGCCTCTCCCTCCAGCAAAGGGCACCCCTGCCCCCCCCCCCGCATTCCTCTCCAGAGGAATATTCAGACATGCGCAAAAAACAAGTCCTCTCCAGCACTCGCATCCGGCCAAATCCACACAGGGCCTCCACTGCTCCTCCAGCCAAATGCAGGGCAGACACGCGCCTCCCCCCCCCCTCTTTGCAAAGCATTTGGGGAGACCTGAGGACGCTAAGCTACGCAAAGAGCACTCCAGACAACAAACTTTAGGGAAAGAAACCACCTCCTAGCCTATTTTCCTGCTGGCTGCCATCAGCTACTGGCCCACATCTTCCTCCGGAGCTGTAAGCAACAGAACAAACTGTAATCACTTGTGGCTCAGAGAGATTTCAGGGGTTCATTTCCTAGGGGGGGAGCCTATCGGGCTCCCAGTGTCGCCCACTGGAGTGTGGTTGGGAAGGGGGCTCCCCTGCTTAAGGGAAGCCCCACAATTGGGAACTGCCCTTCGCACTCCCCAGCTGGGTGGTTCGGCAACTCCGGTCCAGTTGCCGTAAAAGCAACCCAAAAAGGTAGCCCCCGGTCTCCCTTTTGCCTCATGGGAGCTGGCACACGTGGCGAGGCGAAGGTGTGGATGTGCCTGGGGACGTGGCGAAGCCAGCTGGTGCAGTCAGGAGGCGCTACAGCTGCCCGCGGCTCCGAGGGCCGAAGAAAATGGGGTCCCCCTGGGCGAAGAAGCCCGTGCTGCTGCCCTTCGTTACCCAGCAGGGAAATGGACACAAGGGTCACCAGCTGTGAGCCCGCCCACCCTTCAGCACCCACCCAGGACGGGGTGGGATTGTGGGGGGGGGAATGAGAAACCGATGCAACCAAACCCAGAACAAAATGCAAGAGGGATCAGAGAGCGGCCGAAATTGCATTTGTTTTGGACTTGCGCAACAAGGGGGGGGGGAGAATGAAATGTGTAAGTGAGCAATTTTTAGTCATGGGGTGTCAATGAGAGGCAAGAGATGGCACCAAAACAAAAAAAAACTGCACACAGGGTAATATTTTTAGGGGGAAGAATTGTTCGTGACCACAGAAAAAAGACTGATAACTTATAGGCCGCTTCTACCCCGTTCTCTTCTCCGGCATCTCTGCGGAGGGAGCTGCCCAATCCGATAACAGGTGGCCAATTTGCCTCAAATGGGTCAGGGCCATCAATTCAAAGCCTGTCCTCAGCCGTGGGCTAGAAAACGCCGCCGGCCTTTCCTTCGGGGCAGGGGGTCCGAGTTGGCAGCCCTGCCTCTGGGTCTCCCTGCCTTGACGGTTGAACAGGCCTGAGCCTGCCAGGTGTCCGGAGACCCAACCTGGGCCCGTGTTAAAACACGGCTCCTTTGCCCAAAAGGGGAAAAAAAAAATCAGGGCTTTTCTGTAGATCAGTCAACATTCTGGGGGGGGGGGGGAGAAAGGAAATTAAAAACCAAAAGGGCGACAGAATGGAAGCAGTGTGCCGTGGGCACGACTGTCTGCGAGGAGAAGGGAGTACAGTTTGTCGTATTGCTTACAAGGTAGTATTTTATCCAGCCTCTTCCCGCCAAGGACCTGTAAGCCGGACTCTGTTCCAAAACCTTCCTCCGCTTCCAGGGGCCAAGGCAGGGGATGGGCACTGCTCGGCCGGGCTGTCAAGAGAACTGATTTAGAGAGGCGCTCCTGAGGCAGGTCATCCTCTAGCCATCCATCCTTACTCTGCTCACTGCTAACGCCTCTGAAATTAGGCTCACTGGAGATCACAACTGGGGTCAGTGCAGGGGCTGACTAAGGAAGCCCCAGCCAGAGGTCCCTCCCTACCCAAAGCCAGAGCAGGTAGCTGGAACCCAAGGACTGCCTGTCCCACAGCTGCTCAAGGGACAGGCGCTGGGGGCAGGGGGAGTGACGAGTAAGGGCAGAGGACGGATCACGACAGCTACCCATCGTTGTTGTTTTTTTAAGGGAAAGCCTTATGGTCCCTTCCCCCCCCCCCCAGCCTCATGTTGCAAAATGGCAAGGATCACCAGGACATCCAATCTGGGGCAGGGCGATGGCCACAAGCTCCTCTGGCAGCAGCAGACCACACCATTGGCCAAATCCCACAGGTGCTGAGCAAGAACTCGTAAAGGGGAAAAAGAGGGAGGGGTGAGTGTGTCGCATTTACACTGCAGTGTTAACAAAGGGATCACACGGGGGGGCAGAAATACACGGAGCCCGGAGAAGAGGCGCAGAGCTCAAAGGAGCCCAGTCTTTCCCCATCTCCCAAATGACGGTGAAGCAGGGACTCCTCCTGACAGCAGCCGCCACGCCAGACGGGAGGCGAGGAGAGGCTGGGCCGCCGTTGGACTGAAACGCCGAGAGAGGGGCCGACTTACCGGAGAGCGGGTCTGAGGCTGGGTGCTCATCGCCTGAGGGGCCTGGGGGTACACCAGCGTGGTGGGCGCGGCGTTCTGTCCGGTGGGGTACGGAGCCTGCCGCAGAGAAGAGAAAGCAACGTTGGCAAGGGATGGAGCCGGGATTGCCTTCCACCCCAACCCCACGAGGACCCGGACTGGCACCTAGCCACCTCCTGGACCCTGGGCAGCTCTCCCGGGTTCCATCCGACTCCGGGCACGAGAGGACGGACATTGTTCCATTGGAAGGCAGTAAAAGGAAGAGTTGAGAAGCCTTTCAGTCCCTGAATTCCAGACAACCCCCCCACCCCACCCGGGGCAGGCTGAGTTTCCTGAAAGCCGCTCTTCCCGCAG